GTCATATCAAGTTTAAGTTCAAGTTCAAGTGCATTTAGTTCAAATCAAGTCCTTGCTTGTGTTCAAGTAGCAAGCTCAAGTCATATGTCTTCTGTAGTCCTTGTAGAGTTTAAGTCCGAGCTCAAAAATGAGTACAATCAAGTTCAGTTCAAGCTTCGTTGTCTTTCAAGTTCATTATTGATCAAGTTTGAATCAAGTTCTCGTTCCTTACAACATCACTTGATTAAGTTTTGATTTAAGCTTGATTTTGCCTTAAATTATGCCCAAGTTAAGTTCATTTGATGTCCTAATAAAGTCGACTGTCCGTTCTAAGTCCTTGTCCTTTTTAGACAAAATTTCGGCAACCTCCCGGCGTCTCCCCTGTTAAGGGGAAAAAATCAAGAGGCCGCCTACCCGCCACGTCAACAAAGACGTGCACAGTTAATGTTTGTGAGACACAGCGGCGATATTTTTTTATTTTTTCATCCACCACGCCAACAAAAGCATGCATAGGGTTTTAAAAGTAACTTTTTTTTAAAAAAAAGCAATTTTGCTTTCCCCCCGCTCGGGGGTACTTATGAGTGACCCCGCCTCGCCGTAGGTGCCGCACCGGGATCCCATCCCACCACGCGCAATAAAGGCGTTCGTGGGCGGTTTTCTAGTCCGCCACGAACATTGAAGTACGATTTTGAGTTGATTACCTGCCTCGTCGTAGACGCCGCAACGGGGTCCCATCCTACCACGCGCAATAAAGATGTGCATTGGCAATTTTTTGGTCGGCCACAAACTTCGAGAACGACAATCTGAGTTTGGAAAAAATCGTACCTTCGCGGGGTTGTCGGTGTTAGCACGTGGATCGAGGAGTTACTCGCCTACCTCGTCGTAGGTGTCGCACCAGGTTCCCTCCTTCCACGCTCAACAAAGGCGTGCATATATGGTTTGCCGACCCGACATGCATGCCGAGGTAAGAGAGGATTTTTTTTTCTTCTTTTTTTTTAAATTATAATTAATAGCAATAAATAATAATTAATAACTTAATTATAATTTTTAAAAAATTTATTATAAATAAAATAATTAACTATAATTAATGATAAATAATTATAAATCTCTCTCTCTCTCTCTCTCTCTCTCTCTCTCTCTCTCTCTCTCTCTCTCCCTCCCTCCCTCTCTCTCTCTGTTTCTCCCTGAGCCGAAGAAGCAAGGGGGTCAGGAGCTTGCGGGAGAGGGATGGAGGTCGTGGGATTTGCGAATGGGGAGCAGTACCGAATGAGCCGAGCTTCGTTCGTGTCTTATAGATGCGAATGGGGTAACGATCGAGGCTGGATTCACGAGAGGCGACGTGAGCGGCGCCGAAGGAACAGTGCCTCAGCGGGATTTGAGCCAGATTTTCAGAATTTCAGCCGGGATTTCGGGTAGATATCGTGGACCCGATGGATTACAGCAGGTATGCATTTCGTTTTCATTTTCTTTGGGTATTATACGGAGGTCAACAGAGGCATTATTTTTTCGATTTTTTCAATTGATCAATTGATAAAAAATTCGAAGTTTTCTACTCATAATTTATCACTTACTCTTGTTAGATTTACAATGGTTTGCTTTCCTTTTTTGTGTCGTTCTTTTGTTATGATTTATTTGTAGAAAGGTGTTAGATTGACCGGAAATGAAAGTAGTGTAACGGTAAAGGGCTTAGAAGCTAATCGTTATGTTAGACCGGTCCAGAGAGTACCGATCCAGCCGGCCCAATCCATTGGGCCGGCTCTGTTCGTTTGCGGAAGAAGAAGGCGGGCGGAAACAACAGGGAGCCAGAAACCGCAAGGAGGCAATCGGGTGGGGTCCACTTGCTTTTCAAATTGAATCTTGGAGACAAAAGGAGTGGAAGTAAGGGCAATTAGGTCCTTTTATGTTATTTTTGAATTTTATGCTTTTAAGTAGGGAGAAAAGGATAGATTAGGGTTATGTTGAATTTGCTTGAAGTTTTTTTTGTTCTTCTTTGGTGGCTAGGCTCTAGATCGAATTCTAGAAATTGGGAGAGTGCGATCCTCCTCTCGAATAGAGGATCGTTGTATCTTTGCTATTTTCCTTGCATCTACTAGTAAAATACAAGCTTTTTCTCCACTATTTCTCTAAGATTTGCTATTTTTTCCACTGTTTTGTGACAATTCCTGCTGTGGACAGCAGGTTCTCACTGTTTCTTGCGTCGAAAGTGGTTAGGAAATACTTGAAATCAAGTATTTCCTATCAAATTGGTATCAGAGCAAGTCTTGGGACCAATCGTGGGCTGTTTTTGACAAATTTCAGCGGCTGAAATTTGTGCCGGCGAAGAGGAAATTGCTGAAATTTTTTTCAGATCTAGAGATCGTCACCAAATTTTCAAGCCGTAAGAGATGGCGGCTAACAAGGTGGACGCTTTGGAGAAGCGAATTGAAGGGGAAATAAATCAAATCAAGGAGACCGTGGAGGAACGAATGTCTTCCATGGAGGGGAAAGTGGCCGATCTACGAGAAATGATGAAGAAGATGTTGGAGTTTCAAACCCAATCAGCGGCATCTGATGCAAAAGGGCCAGCGGCGAAGTACACCAACTCTGAAATCCATCGGGAGGAAGAGGAGGTGGAAATCGTGGAAGAAAGTAGGGGAAGGCCTCATTTGGAGCCTTTCTAGAGGGAGGAGAGAGGAGGAAGATATGGGGAAAGGCAAGGCTACGGAGGCGTGGAACCAAGATGTGCTGGTTGGGAGCATCGGGATGGTTATCATGGGCGTCGGGAAGCGGTGTTTGAAGATCGGAGAGGGGATTTTGAAGGGGGTTTGGGACAGGGCAGAGCAAGGGAAGATCGGGAGACATGGGGGGGGGGGTTCCAGGCACATGGGAGAGGGCAAACTATGGAGGTTAAAGGGGGAATGGCGGGGATCGGAAGGTAAGGAAATTGAAAATGCTCATTTTTGAAGGGGAGGATGCCTATGGGTGGATCTACAAAGTGGAGAGGTACTTTGCTGTTAACGGATTGACGAAGGAGGAAAAGTTATCGGCAGCAGGTTTGTGTTTGGAAGGGAAGACACTCTCTTGGTACCAGTGGAGAGATCAGAGGAGACCTATCCGGAGCTGGGGAGAATTCAAGGACAGTTTGTTAGAGCGTTTCCAAACCGATCAGGAAGGAGACTTCTACGAGCAGTTCTTTGCCCTAGTATAGGAGGGGTCTGTGGCAGACTATCGAGAGAGGTTTGAACATTTGACCAACAGGGTGGACCGCTTGTCCGAGACGGTGCTGGAGGGAAATTTTATGAAGGGGTTAAAGGCTGAGGTGCGAGCAGCGGTGAAGGTCCTGATGCCCAGGGACCTAGGGGAGGCCATGAAGCTTTCACAATTGGTCCAAAATCAAAAGAACTTGGAGAAGGGAGCGAGGAGTAGTAGTAGCTCAGGAGGCACTTACAGGTGGACGACTACCCACCTAGCCACCAAGGGAGCTTTCCCAGGAGGGATGAAAGAAATTCCAAAGGAAAAAGCAACAGGAGGAAATGGGGACAGTTCAAGAGGCTCACTAACAAGGAAATGTAAGAGAAGAGAACGAAAGGGCTGTGTTTCCGATGTGATGAAAAATACATGCCAGGGCACAAGTGCAAGGATCGAACTCTTCAAGTTCTCCTCATTTGTGAAGACGAGGAAGACGAAGAGGGTGGGGGAAGCGATTCAGAGGTGGAGGAGGAAAAGATGCATTTGGATGTGGCAGAAGTCTCTCTCAACTCTGTAGTGGGATTCACTCTGAGTCACACTATGAAGGTGAAGGAAGAGATAGCTGATCGTGGAGTTGTGGTGTTGATTGATAGTGGGGCGACCCACAATTTCATTTCCACCCAGATTGTGGAGCTGCTGGGGATGAAGTTAGTGGATACTAGAGGCTATGAGGTGATAATGGGCACTGGGAAGGTAGAAATGTGAAGAGGAATCTGCAAATGAGTGGTACTGAAAATCCAAGGCATACAAGTGAACGAAGACTTCCTTCCCCTATAACAGGGGAGTACGGATGTCATCCTAGGGATGAAGTGGTTGCAGACTTTGGTGGAAACCAAAATCAATTGGGGCAAACTGCGGATGGAGTTGGTGAAGGGTGGAAGGAAAATGGTGATTCAAGGGGATGCAGGATTGACCAAGGCAGGGGTTTCTCTTAAATACCTAATCAAAACAATTCAGGAGGAGGGGGAAGGCTACTTGGTGGAATTACACCGACTAGAGGGAGTGAGTGTGGAGGATGTGGGAGACATACCCCTCTCTGTGCAGCCCTTGATCCAGAAGTTCGAGGAGGTTTTTCAACCCCTTATAGGGTTGCCACCACCAAGGGAGCAGGAGCACGCCATCACATTAAGGGAGGGAGTGTCGCCGGTCAGCGTGCGACCTTACCGTTACCCTCAGTTTCAAAAGGATGAAATAGAAAAGTTGATCAGAGAAATGCTGGAAGCAGGGATCATCAGGCCCAGCATCAGCCCGTTCTCTAGTCATGTTCTATTGGTAAAGAAGAATGATGGCAGTTGGCGGTTTTGTGTAGACTACCGCGCACTCAACAAGGAAACGGTACCTGATAAGTTTCCCATACCAGTGATTGACGAATTGTTGGATGAATTGAGTGGAACGGTGATTTTCAGCAAGATCGACCTGAAATCTGGATATCATCAGATTCGAATGAAGAAAGAAGATGTACCCAAAACCGCCTTCAGAACTCATAAGGGCCACTATGAGTTCCTGGTGATGCCCTTTGGCCTCACCAATGCTCCAGCCACTTTCCAGGCCCTCATGAATACGATTTTCAAACAGTATCTGAGGCGATTTGTTCTGGTATTCTTCGATGACATCTTAGTGTATAGCAGAACAGAGGAAGAGCACTGGGATATTTGAAGGTGTTAGAGGTTCTCCAGAAGCACCAATTGAGAGCTAACTTGAAGAAGTGCTGCTTCGCACAAGCCAGTGTGGAGTACCTGGGTCATGTGGTATCCAAGGAAGGGGTAGCAGCAGATCAGTCCAAGATTGAAGCCATGCTTAAATGGCCATTGCCCAAAAACCTAAAGGAGCTGAGGGGATTCCTAGGGCTTACAGGGTACTACAGAAGATTTGTGAAGGGATACAACACTATAGCTTGGCCACTCACAGAGCAGTTGAAGAAAGATGGCTTCTTATGGGGGGAGGCAGCTACGACAGCATTTGAGCAGTTGAAGAAAGCTATGACCACAGTGCCGGTCTTAGCTTTACCGGATTTTACTCAAGCCTTTATAGTGGAGACTGATGCATCAGGATACGGGCTAGGAGCAGCTGATGCAGAACCACAAGCCCATTGCTTATTTCAGCCAAGTGTTGACTGCCAGAGCTCGTCTGAAATCTGTCTATGAGAGGGAATTGATGGCAATTGTTTTGGCCATCCAAAAGTGGCGTCCTTACTTACTTGGAAGGCATTTCATCGTCCGGACCGACCAACGAAGCCTGAAATATTTGCTGGAGCAGCGCATGGTGACAGAGGAACATCAGAGGTGGCTATCCAAACTGCTCGGGTATGATTTTGAGATTTCTACATGATCTCCTTATGTGTGAATGTTTTTATTTTCTCAACATACAATCACTCCCTTTCAATTTGATTTCTAAGAAAAGTGCAAGCTTCAAAAATTTCAAGGTATCTCATGCTGATTTTAATTTGAAGTCTTCGTAGTCTGGAGTTCATTTTTCCTGAAATGTTAGTACATACAAGAGCAAATACAATTCTTCCAAAATTGTTAGGAGATAACTACACATTTGAACAATAATGTTTGAAATCATCAAAAATTTATAAGATGCAAAAATGAAAAGCATGCAAATAGCAACTATCTTAACACTCCACCTTACCTCTCACAACCGATTGAATGACTTGGAGGTGGCATCCTTCCTAGTCGATTGTGGATTTTAGAGTTGGAGATGGGCAGACGCTGATTACGAAGGCGTTCAAGGAGGCTATCTATCGGATCGAGCAATTAAATCATCTCGGCAGTATGCTTCTCTACTTTCATGCCGGAGTCTGGCTCACTGGAGCGTTTAATCTCACCAGCTGCATGACGCTTTTTCTCGCCAAAGCCTAGAGATTTTGTAACCCGCTCAATTTGAGCGGGTTTCAAAGTCGCACGAAGGGCCCGCCGCAATACACCGCTGATGCTTCCGAGGACTTCCTTACTTTTAGCTCTAAACAATCCAAATGACCTAATTTGACCTAATTTATCAAATGAGTGTATTTCAAATATTTTACCCTCCATATTCTGCATACCAAACAACCCCTAAACAGAATCCAAAAATATCATTACAACCAAAATTTGTTATTGGGGCGCTGCCCCCAAAAAACCCGTGCAAGGGGCGCTGCTCCCTTGGACCTCCTACATATCTATGAAGTGTATAATGATCAAAGATATGAACACATAGGAGTCGAGGCCAATTTTACACTTTTACTCATAAGTTTGTCCCCCTAAAAATTAAACTTGTTGCGTCCTGGAACATTCGCGGTGGTAGAAAAATATATAGTTTAACGTCTTAGCATTGTAAGAAGATCCAGCACACAATCAGATAAGTGAGTGGGTGTAGCGTTCATAAGAGACACTAGAGGTTTTAAGTGGAAAACCCCTGAAAAGGGGGAAAAACCACGGGGCCTGGCCCAGTTTGAATGAATCCACTAGTATTTGCAGTCGATTACAAATGAGGCCCTTCTTAGGGAGAAGGCCATAGCTTGATGTTATAAATGTATGTCATATAGAACGTATTACATTGTGGGAGTTATAATAATCAACATAGACATGTTTGTTTGGTTGGAAGGGCCATTGTTGGCAAGAGATAGAGGTCAGAAGGAGATCGGGGTCTGAAAGGTCGTTGTCTTGTGATGGAGGTTGGAGTGACCGTAATAGGCGACGGAGGTTGGGAGGACCGTAATCGGCAGGTAACTGGGGTCAGAAAGACCGTTCTTCTATAATGGAGGTCGAAGTGACCGTAATAGGCGACGAAGGTCGAGAGGACCGTAGTAGGTAGGTGACTGGGGTCAGAAAGACCATTTTTTTATGATGGAGGTTGGAGTGACCGTAACAGGCGACGGAGGTCGGGAGGACTGTAATCGATAGAAGACTGGGGTCAGAAAGACCATTGTTTTATGATGGAGGTCGGAGTGACCGTAATAAGCGACAGAGGTTGGGAGGACCATAATCGGCGGGACACTGGGGTCAGAAAGATCGTTGTCCTGTGATGGAGGTCGGAGTGACCGTAGTAGGCAACGGAGGTCGAGAGGACCGTAATTGGCAGGAGATTGGGGTCAGAAAGACCGTTGTTTTGTGATGGAGGTCAGGCAGAGTCCGAGCCTTAAGTGGTGGTCCGGTAAAAGTCCAGGTCTCAGGTGGTGGTCTGGCGGAGCAACGGCGTCATGTGGTGGTCCGGCGAAGGTGAGGGCCTCAAGTGGTGGTCCGGTGGTGGTCCGGCGGAGGTGAGGGCCTCAGGTGGTTGTCCGGTGGAGGTGAGGGCCTTAAGTGATGGTCCGGTGGAGCAACGACGTCAGGCAATGGTCCGGCGGAGGTGAGGGCCTCAGGTGGTGGTCTGACGGAGCAACGGTGTTAGGCGGTGGTCTGGTAGTGGTCGAGGAGGTAAGGAAGCAAGAGCGATCTCCGATCTCTCTCTATTTTCCTTAGGCTTCCCTCCTCCTTTAAAGAGGAGAGGGAGCTCTATTTATAGATTTATGGAGTGGCATGCCCCGTAAATAGGTGAGAGATCAAGGGTAAATGAGGAGTGGTTGGATGGACGGCCGATATTGAACCCCCTGATCATGGACCATTCGTCAAGCATTTGGAGGCCTTAGAGATATCAGAATTTGGTAATCTTGGGCTTGTTGGATTCGTCTCATCGAACCGTTCGATTTGAGTATAAGCTTGTTAAAATTGGAGACCGTTTGGTAACTCAAATTGTGGTTTGAACCTTTTAATAGCGCTTCGATCCATGATTCGGACCCATTTGGACTCGGATCGAGTTGGATTTGGTGTCTTTGGGTTCGTATTTTCGAGACACTCAGTTCGATTGTAAGTTTGCTGAAATCGGAGTTCGGATGGTCTCCGAATTAATTTTTGAAGTTTCCAACTTGATTCTGCATCTAGATTTATGCCCGATCAGGATAATTTTTTGACGATGTATCAGTTGTCCCCCTATTTTCGGATGTCGTAGCTTTAGAAGTCCGAAAATATATGTGTCGACCTTTCATATTGGCCGAATAACAAAAAATTGCGCACTAAAAATAAACAAAAAATTTAGTTTTTTGCGGTTGCTACAATAACCACGACTGCTACAGTATTTTCTGCAAATGACATTTTATGTAAACGCACCCGGTTGCTACAGTACCCGTGCAACAGTGATTTCTACATTATCGCTTGCGTTGCTACAGTGTTACTATGATTGCTACAGTACCGTTAGTGGTTGATGCAGTTCTGGTTGCGTTAGCTACAGTGCTGATTGCGGTTGCTACAGTATTTTTTTCTTTTTTAAAAGAGTTGAGAGAGTGGGAGAGAAAGGGAGAGTGGAAGTAGGAAAGAGAGAGAGGGAGAGTGGGAGAGTTTTTTATTTTTATTTTTCTCTCCCATAACTTCCTCTCTAGCCTATAAATAGACCCCTCATAGGGTCTTAATCCTTGCACCTTCTCCTTCTCCACTCTTCTCTCAGTAGAGGCCTTCCCCTGCCCCTTGGACAATTCCATTGTCCAATAGCAGGGTCCCTCTTTGCGAGAAAGAGCTTTCTTCTCCTTCTCTTCTCTCAGTAGAGGCTTTCCCCTGCCCCTTGGACAATTCCATTATCCAATATCAGGGTCCCTCTTTGCGAGAAAGAGCTTTCTTCTCCTTCTCTTCTCTCAGTAGAGGCTTTCCCCTGCCCTTGGATAATTCCATTGTCCAATAGCAGGGTCCCTCCTTGAGTTAAAGAGACCCTTTTTTCTTCCTCCTCCTCAAGCTAAGGACTTCCCCTGGTCTTGTGCAGGCGGTATCCCTTGTGTAATTCTAGGGCCCCTCACTGAGTTGAAGAGACCCTTTTTTCTTTCTCCTTCTCCTCAAGGTGAGGCCTTCCCCTGGTCTTGTGCAGGCGATATCCCTTGTGCAATTTTAGGGCCCCTCACTGAGTTGAAGAGACCCTTTTTTCTTGTGAGAGATCCCACAACCAAGAGAGATTCGTAGTTGGTTCACAACGGAGGTCGGGGAGAACCGTAGTTGGAGAAGGAGGTCGTAAGGACAGTATTTGGCAGTGGAAGTTGCAAGGTCTATTATTGACAAAGGAGGTAGTAAGGATCGTAGTCGTTAACGTAGATTGGAAGAACGATTATCGATGAGCGAAGGAGATTGGAAGTCCGATGACGGGCATAAGTTTGGTGTCAGGTATATGTCCGACCAAAGTTCTCCTACAGGCAATAGTTCGTCGACAGGTAGTAATCCGACGGCAGACAGAAGTTCGATATTGGGTAGAAGCACTGAATCGGGTAGAAGACCGATAAAAGTCCTTTGACAGGCAGTAGTCCGTCGACAGGTAGAAGTCCGACGGTAAAGAGAAGTTTGACGTCAGGTAGAAGCACTGAATCGGGTAAATGACCGATGAAAGTCCTTCCACAGGCAGTAGTCTGTCGACAGGTAGTAGTCTGACGGCAGACAAAAGTCCGATGTCAGGTTGAAGCACTGATCGGTTAAAAGACCGATGAAAGTCCATCGACGGGTAATAGTCCGTCGACAAGTAGTAGTCCGACGGCAGGCAGAAGTCCAACGTCAAGTAGAAGCACTAAGTCGGGTAGAAGGACGACAAAAGTCCGTTGACGGGAAGTAGTCCGTTGATAGGTAGTAGTACGAAGGCAGACAGAAGTCTGATGTCAAGTAGACGTGCAGCGTTGGGTAGAATACCGATGAAAGTCCATCGACGGGTAGAACTCTAACGACGGTTAGTAGTCTGACGGCACACAGAAGTCCGACGCAGGGTAGAAGACCGACGAAAGTCTATCGATGGGCAGAAGTCTGACGACGAGTAGAAGTCCGATGACAAGCAGAAGTCCATCGACAGGGAGAAGTCCGATGTCGGGTAGAAGTACAACGTCTGGTAGAGGATCGACAAAATTCCATTGAGGGGCAGAAGTCCAATGATGGGAGGAAGCTCTACGTTGAACAGAATCCCAACGAAAGTCCAATGACAGGGAGAATTCTGGCATCGTGTAGAAGTCCAACAACGGGATAAAGCTCTGCGTCAGGTAGAAGTCTGATAAAATTTATGCTAGGCAGAATTCCGACAACGGGAAGAAGTTTGATGTTGGACAGAAGTCTGACAATGGGCTGAAACCCGATAAAAGTTTGACGACGGCCAGGAGTCCGACGTCGGGCAG